CACCTCCATCTGTCCTGCAGTGAACTCGCTACTGTTCAGCTTCCACACTCCACACAGACTCTTGAACAGCGCACATTTTTCTAGGTTAACATTAGATTGAGTGCACATGTAAAGTTGCTAATTCTTACATATTTCAGATGATAAGCCATATTTGAGGTCAGTGAATGATAGGTGAGTGTTTGGATGTTCTGTCCGATGTACTGTATTACCATAGACAAGTCGTTAACGATCTGTTCGTCACGTGTGACTTCGCCTGTGGATTTTTTTTTTCTGCAACTAAGCAACTAATAAAATTTTGGTCGACCAAGCCTCTTCTGGTCGACTAAAAATTAGTCGACTATTAGGGTGCAGCCTACTTAGGACGATGTGATATTTCAGTTTTTCTTTTTTAATAAATCTGCAAAAATGTCAACAATTCTGTGTTTTTCTGTCAATATGGGGTGCTGTGTGTACATTAATGAGGAAAAAAAATTAACTTAAATGATTTTAGCAAATGGCTGCAATATAACACAGAGTGAAAAATTTAAGGGGGTCTGAATACTTTCCGTACCCACTGTATATATATATACACACACACACACACACAAAATAATTAAACAGCAAGTTTATGTAGATTAATATTTATATGAATACCGTAATATAAAGTATTACCAAACATACAAAACATAGTGATTTTTCATATCTAATTTACTTTATATTACTTGTTACTCTTGAAATTGATTTGCTTTGGGATACCTGGTAACACAAATATATGGTTTTAGTCATGCCAAAAAACAAAAACAAAAAAAAACTACCAAAATAAGAAATAAGATTGAGAGAGACAGTGACACAGACAGAAAGAAAGAGGTTTGACATTCTGCTCAGACTGTGACAGAATAACTGATGACAATAAAAATATAGAAACAGACGAGACAAGAAGAGACCTAGACTAGATGAAAAGACACAAACAGACACCTGAACACACACATGACGTCCGTGAGCATTTGGGAGCATGCTGAAAATGTGTGTGTGTGTGTGTCACGGTGACTTCTTGTCCTGGTTTCAGTTCTTCTTCCCCTGCGGCTGTAACCTCATCTACATCTTTCTCATTCTTTCATTTTCCTCCTGTTATCCTTCTTTTCACAGCTGCCCCAGCTTTTTCAAATATCTGTATATTTTTTTTTTTTCAGTTTTAGGTTTAATTATTTTAGAACAAGTTAAACCAAACAAAAATGAGAAAACACAATTTTAAAAATCTACATTTATTTTATTATTTTATTAACATTAACATTCATTTATTACAAGTAGTGAATTTTTTTTTTTTAATGATTTTACTTTTAGTTTCAGTTAACTATAATAACCCTGCATCACACACACACACACACACACACACACACACATACACATACACAGACCTTAGATGCTATATTAGAGATGGCGTGTTTTTCTATCAGGGTAATGTTATTTTCTATCGCCAAACCCGATCCCTAAAACAGCCCACACAGAAACCTGTGCACGCCATTATATTTAAACACAAATATTATCTGGATCAGCCTTTTCAACTTGTGACGACACATGAAAATGTACTTATGACAAATACACCTTACAAACATTTGACGAAAAGAAGTTTGAAATGGTAAAGCAGTAGATATCAATCACTGCTTTCTTAGCCAACAGGGAACATTCTCAGAACATTCTGACAAGGTTCTTTCAAATTTATGAACAAATGTCAGCCAGTCACATTAATAGAATGTTGTTTAAAGTTATCTGGTCTTTTATAATGTTCTCAAAATGTTATTTATACATCATTCATGGAATGTTTTTTTTTGTTTGTTTGTTTTTTTTTTTTAGTCGAATGTTCATCCACGTTCAAGATATTTTTAAACGTTACTACTACTTGTTTCAGAGAACATTCAAAAGTAGCATTTCCATAATGTTTGAAAAAATGACAAAATGGAATGGTCCCTTCACGTTTTCTCTGACATTTTCGCAATATTCAAGAAAAAAATTCAAAAATTTAAATAACCGGACGTTTTGAAGATTTACAAGTAATGTTTAAAAAGCTTAATGGAAATGTTCTTCGAAAACATTCTTAGAACATTGTATTTTTGTTCATTTCAAAAAAATTTTTATGTTTCTTTAAGCCTAATACAGAAACAGAGACTCAACCAATGGTGTGAGTTTGGGTGCGGGACTATCTGTTTATCCGACCAATGACAGGTGAGATGAGTGTCTCAGAAAGATGTTTGAAAAAAGTGTTTTTGTACACCAGTGCCACAGATAAAATGCACAATACTTTTATTCTTCATTTCAACACTAGGTCTTTTTTAAACTGAACCTAAACTTAAACTTCTTTTGGTCAAATGTTTTGATTGTAAATGTAACAAAACACACAAATTCGAAACCGCAAACACTTCTTTGACCCTAAACCTTGAACACGTTTGTACAGCGTGTGTGTGTCCAGACCTCCTATCAGCAACTAATGTGACCGAACAGGAGGGGGAAACCAGGACACACAGCGGGATTAAAACACACACACACACACACACACACACATAGAGAGAGAGAGAGAGAGAGAGAGAGGAGATACGAGAGACCTCCTATCAGCAACTAATGTGACCGAACAGGAGGGGGAAACCAGGACACACAGCGGGATTAAAACACACACACACACACACACACACACATAGAGAGAGAGAGAGAGAGAGAGAGGAGATACGAGACACTCAGTTCACCAGTAGATGGAAGGAGAGACAGATGTGCTCGTGAGAGAGAGTCAGATCATAAACACAGACAAGAGAAAATCACAGACGAATGTAAGAAAGAAGAACAGAAACACACGGAGGAGTCTGATCTCACAGGAATATAGGAGAAACAGAACGAGTGATGCAGAGATGAAGAACAGTCCGTTCACCTACACAACACTCTGTAATGAAGGTCAGTAACAGAGTTAATCATCTAATGAAATATTACAACAATGCTCAAGTCATTAGCGTACATCTGAAACATTAATTCAATTTAATTGAAATATTTTCAATTTATTGTTACAATTTTAATACAATTTTTAACATTCAATTTAATTTTTTATATTTAATTTCTTTTTTTTGAATTTAATTTACCTGTGTGGAGAGCTTTTGAGTTCAAACAAAAATATACTAAAAAGCACCTTGGTACTAACATGGTACTTTCGACCTGCACCATGGTCATACCATAAAAGTATCAAAGTATAATTATGATACCATGTTTTTTGGACTTGTATCATGGTAATGTTGTGATATTCTCTGTAGTACTTTGCAGAATCACATATACACCATAGTGAATGAATCTGGTAATCATTCAGTATCATGGTGTATATCAAAACACCAGAGTTGCCATCTGACACCATCATTTTACCATGGGACTGCTGCAGTACTTCTGTAAGGGTCTCTGGTTGCTAAAATCGCTCATAATGCCTGCGTGTAATTAATCATCATTAATAACACAGAGCAAGTTTATTGAATGTATTGTAAACACAACACTGGGATCTGTGTGTGTGTGTGTTATGTAACAACAGGTATCTAAAACCCATCTGTTACTGAGACCTCTGATGAACTAATATGTGTGTATTTAAATGTGTGTGTGCATAAGTGTGTGTGTTTTAGCATGTGTATATGTAGTGCTTTTAAATGTGTGCATGTACCTGTGTGTATTTGAGTGTGTGTTGTATGTAAAAAAAAATACAAAAAAATTCTAAAAGACCAAAATAATATTTTCTTGGAAAACGTACTCCAAAATAATAATAATTTTAAAAAAAACATAGTCAAGTTTAAAAAAAAAACATTTTTAAGGTGCACATGTGTATGTTATTTCTAAATGTAACTGTATTGACTCGCACATGTTGTTCCAAACCTGTGTGAAATTCTTTCTTCTGTGGAACACAAAAGAAGATATTTTGAAGGAAATCTAAACACAGATAAAAACACTGAGAAACAGTGAGACACAAACACTTGAACACAAGTAAGAGAAAATAAGAGAGGAAAGACAGAAAGAAGGACAGACAGACAGACAGACAGACAGCGAGAGATAAACACCAGAGAGAGGGATGGATGAAAGACAAGAAAACAAACAGACAGTGACAGCAAAATAAAGAGGAGAAGATACAAATGAACAGAAAGACAGGAGACAGACGGGTATTTAAGAGAGACAGGCCTGAACCTCTAAATGAGGTGAATCTCCAGACACCTGTCGAGATGATGTCCAGCTCATATTTCACCTCAGAATGAAAAGGAAGGAATAAGAAATGTCTGACATGATGAAATTAAGTCTAGTTTTAAAGATTTTTTAATAATAAGAGAATAAGAGACTTCCTTCAACAACATTAAAAAATCTTACCGACCCAAAACTTTTGTGCAGTAATGTATATACATAATATTTTATAATGGCAATAAAATCTAAGGAGAATCATCATTGACAATAATGAGAATTCGCAAAAACCCACAAGTGAAATGTCTGAATACAATACAGTAATGAGAATTTGGGGGATTAATGGTCCTAAAAACAGATTTATATATTCTTTTCCTTCGATTTTGGGATGAAATGTGACCTGGACATGACTGTGTGATTTACTCAGAGAAGAGTGTATAAAATGAAATGAGTTTGAGAAAACATGCGTCATCCTCCAAAAGAGGTGAAGACACAAACATCAGCGCATCTCTTGGGACATTTGTGTCCTTCTGCAGACAAATGCACTCTCTCTCTCTCTCTCTCTCTCTCACATACACAGTTTTTTTTTTTTAAAAGCTGTTTTCTTTTTAAGCTGATAAATCTTTTAAGCTACCCTGATACTCTCACAGGCGCAAACACACACACACATCTGATTGCTAAACACACTCGTCACATGACCAGTTCTAAACACACACAAGTTCAGCAGTGCTTTGACACTCAATGAAATCATCTTTACATGTGTTTTTGTTGGTTTAGTAGTGTTGTTTAATAAATCAAGCATCACTATTAGGCCTACTATTTCAACAAACCTCTAGAACTCAGTGTTAAAGTTAAGTGTCTAAAGTTGTGTTTTAGTCGACTAAATGTCTGAGCATTTTAGTCTAGTTTTAGTCGATAAAAACTTAGCCACATTTAAAACAACAGCGGTTGAGTAAGTGCATTTATTCAGCAAACACAATCGCAAATAAAAAAGTCAAGATCTCATGACAGAACACAGACTGGTTGAATGACACTTTCATTTAAGCCAAGCATCTCATATGGAGATCGCTAAACTCCAGCTTTCTTGTTTGTCTGTGTTTTCATATGATCATCGGCGCTTCCGCAATGAAGGTCGAGTGTATGCGCATGGTTTCAAATATTAAGCAAAACACTTGGGCAGAAAAGTTATCCTTTTAAAAGAGAAGCGTCTTATTTGGGGGATTATCCCAAATAATCTTGATATCCTTGATATCTGACAACCGCACACATGGAAGCTCATGTATTAGAGGCATGTACAGCAGTCTGCAATAATATTTTGTCTCCTTTTTCGACTAAAATTAAAAGAGATTTTTGTATAGTTTTTATCTTTTAAAATACATTTTATTCTAGTCTAGCAACTCCCTGACAACCACAAAGAACAACCTAGCAACCCTTCTAACAGTTTCCTAGCAACTCCCTGGAAACCACCCAGAACACAGTAGCAATCAGCCCCAAACAACCTAAAAAAACCCTAACAAATACCATAGCAACACCCTGGAAACCACCCAGAACACAGTAGCAATCAGCCCCAAACAACCTAAAAAAACCCTAACAAATACCATAGCAACACCCTGGTAACCACCCAGGCACCCTAGAAACCACATTACAACGTGCTAAAACCACAAAGAACATCTTGGCAACCACACAGAAACGTCCTGGCAACTGCCACAGCGTTCTGATAAATGTACACCAATGAGCTACAACAGTACAGTGAATACTGTGGTATTACCATGATATCATGTCACTGTTATACAATGGTACTTTGAGGTATTTTTAGTTAGTGAGTGCTGAGTAGAGTATATGTCAGTGTGCACTGAGAAACACCACAGTCAAGCCATTACACACACACACACACGCTACATGCACCTGTGTGTGTGTGTGTGTGTGTGTGTGTGTGTGTGTGT